AGTGGAGGTTATGGACTGGACCCCACAGTATACTCACCATTAATTGAGGGAGGTCAGGGTCGGAGCAGCGGGCAGTTTGTTTATGACCAACCTTAAGTCATGAGCCTACAGTGTGTGTGTGTGTGTGTGTGTGTGTGTGAGAGAGAGAGGTTTACAGCCATATGGGTCTCAGTTGACTCGGACTGATTTCCTTTAAAATAACCTGCCACCATCACCGTAAATCAGAACAGCCAGGGGTCATTTTACATTTTAATATACTGTTTAGCTTTTGGTGAGTTATTGTGCACGACAACAGAAAAACTGGTGAAATGCAAAAGCAATCTCTTTTTTTTAACAAATACTTATTTTCTGATTTATTATACAATATAGGAGTACACTTATGTGTTTAGTTGCTGTGCAGTGTGCACATTGTGTAACTGCGGTATAACTCAAAGGAATTGACACATTTTATGGTTTTTGGGAAGAGATACAGACACATTGATATATATGTTATAGGCATACATGGTGCAAAACATCATCAGGCTCAGTGTAACCATATTCATGAGTTACCTGTAGAGGATAGCATAATCTTTCCTCTGCTGCAATATTTTAGTATTTTTGTCAGACCTAAGCAGCACTTGTGTTGAACATTACTGAACTACAGCAGAGACATGGCACTGACTGTTTTTGTTATTGTCAAAGGTAATGGTCTGTGGGCCCAGACGTCATCAAGTCCTCCAGCTCTGAAGTCACACATGTTCTCCCTGCTGTCTTCAGGTTGAACCAGAGATAGCTAAATCTGTTGCATTTCTGCAGATTTGGCTCTTCTATTCTCTTTCCCCTCTTTCTAAATATAAATCTGACAGAAACACAATAATACACCATCGGTTCTCCTGCACTGACAGAATTTTAAAGATTATGTATGATTCATGAGCAGTGTTGGGCAAGTTACTCAGGAATTGTAGGTTACTTTTTACTTCTTACTCCTTCAAAAAGTAATATTACTTTACTTATTACGGGGTATTAAAAGTAAGTAGTTATGTTACTTGTTAGAATCAGAATCAGAAGATTCAGATTTTTATTACTTATTACTCCTTCAAAAAGTAATATTACTTTACTTATTACGGAGCATTAAAAGTAATTACTTATGTTACTTGTCAGTTTACTATAGAAGATTCAGATTTCTATTACTTATTACTCCTTCAAAAAGTAATATTACTTTACTTATTACGGAGTATTAAAAGTAATTACTTATGTTACTTGTCAGTTTACTATACTACTTTCACCCCCCCCCCTTTCCTGAAAAAACGACAGACAACCTGCTCAGCCAGCTCATTTTAGAATTTAATCCACTTTAGTGGAGCAATAATTACTCTTGGGAATCAACAATCAACCAAACGGAAAACATTGCAGCCTCTCAAACCAGATGATGCTATACAGTATACACAACGTTCCAGCTGTCGAAAGAATGTCCCTCGTTCTCCGTAACGCTTTTGTATGTATTTATTTTTTACAGAAAGTCTGTGTTACAAAGTTGGAGAGTGCAGTTTGAAAGACCATGCAGAAAGGGTCTAATGGGAGACACTAATAAGTTGCATTATGGGAATTGTAGGATTCACTGTTTTTGAAGCTTGACTCATACTAGTGACTGAACATCATGATATATTGCCCTCTGCTGCATCAATTCTGACTATTCAGTGCAACACTGAATCACTAAAATATCCCTTTAGGATTATTGTTTGATAGCTTTCAGGGGTGGAAAGTAACTAACTATGCTCAAGGACAATATCGTGGTGTTTGAGTATTTCATTTTTCTGTTACTTCTACTCCACTTTTACTCCGTCACAGCCTGTCAGCTCAGTGTACAAAATGAGTCCTTAATGTCATATTTTGTTTTTAAAAAGTAACTAAATCTGCCAGTGCCGTAAGAATATTCCTGTTTGTAATGCAAATGAACTTGTTTCAAGTATTTTCTTAAATTAGATATTTCACAATTATAGTGCAGAAAAGACGCAAATATTCCTGTCTAGGGCATTTTTAAACAAGATTTAAACTCTAAACGCAATTATCCTCACTGCAGCAACATATTTATTTTACTAGTTTAAAGAAAATGAGGTTTGGTAGACTCAGTTTAATATGTAATGAATAAAAATAAAACCATTAAATATGCATTCTTTTGCATAATGAGTAGTTTTATTTTTTATGTAAGTACATTTTTCTGATGAAGAACAAAGTATTTTTATGGTGTGGTGTTACTAATTTTACTTTACTTAGTATAAAAATTTAGGCTGAACTTGAATGTCAAAAAGTAGTATCAAACAAAAATGTTTTCTTAACATTTTTTTGAACTTGAAAAGTGGGCTACGCATTTTCATTACAACTGTTCCCGCAGATTCACACCTTAATACCATCTGACAGTCCAGTGTTTGTTTGTCTACATGTCTTTCCTAATGTTAATTTAATTGAAGCATCTCTAAAATCAGCCAACATGTTTGAGGAGCTGCTCTCTTAGTAATGTAGTCACTGACATTATAACTGTGCATGTCATTCCCCACCCCTCTCCCCTTATTTCTTGTCACCTCTATTCTGCTCTCTGTCAAAATAAGGCAAAATTCCCCCTTTGGATTCAAGTTTGTGGAATGAACATCAAAAATATTAAGTTAGGATTTAATGACTGTGAGAATAGAAATGTTGTGCACAAATTGTAATTCTCAGGTTCCTCTCAGTCTCAGCACTGGTCAGATGTGTCCTTTGGGTGGCAGTAAAACTCTTTCACATTTTTTCTCCAAGTGATTTTGCTTTTTCTTTCGGCCACTGCTGCTATGATTTCAGTAATATAAATAATGAAGCAAATGTGTTAAACAGGAACTGTACATGTGTAAGGAGTCTGACAATTACCATTGATTTCAGCATGAATATGTAAACAGATTGATGTAATTTGCAGAGACTTAACAGAAGCCTTTTACACTGTATGCTGGAAATCATGTAATAAAAGGCTGAAAGTCTTTTTACAGACCACCAGTTGGCACAAAACCTTTCCAAATACAGTTGACCTCCATCCTCCTTTTCTTAATTTTCAATTTAGAAAAAGCATGAAATCCTTTAAATGGCCTGCTGCAGTAAACAAACCAGCCAGGCTCATTGTATCTACTAATGTCACCCAGGAAGAAAAAGCAGAGGAAAAAAAATTTATAAAATAAACTTAGCTAAAACCGGCTCTTTCTTCATCGCTGGGAGATAATGGGAATCATGGGAGAAAAGGAGGAGGGGAGGGAGGGGTGGCATTATTATGTAATTCCCTGTCGTCCCTGTCCACCTGTTGCTTGGTATGGACGGCTGGCAACTTCAGAGCTTGCGGCACAATCGCGTGAATAAAGTGTGTGTTGGCGTGATCATCACCATTCTCAGCTCAGGTCGTGGAGAGTGTGCACAGTTGGTGTGGAGGAGAGTTTCCCACCTCCACAGTGTTGTGCAGAGAACAGGCAACTGCAGATTCCCATGTTGTTGGACAGCATGGCAGTTAAAACAGGTCACTGTAGATCTGTTTTTTTGTGCTTTTCATGTTGGCTTTACAATACAGTGTTGGTTTATTTTTCAGCTACAAGAGCTCTAATATTGAAATACACTATCAGTACATTTGATTAAATGTACACTGGAGCTTAAATATCGCTGCAGTAGTGAGGTGTTGAAAGTCTAACCCATCAATTAACTACAAATGTCAGTAAAATTTCTTGTGGGAAGTATAAGCTCACATTTTGCCAGCAGTTGGTACCTTTGTTGCCTTAAGTGCATTCTATATCAGGAAGATTACTTTTTTAGCAGTGTTAACAAAGTATGTTGCTTTTTGTAAGTGCATAAACTGTTACTGTAACATCTCTGGTTATTACAGCAAAATAAGGTATAAGAATAAGATATTATAAAGCTGTGTGTCAGATCTGATGGTGAAAAATGGACAGAACGTGTAACAACATATAAGACAGAAGGTGTGAAACAAATAAATGCAAAACAAATGAACATTTCACATAAATCTTCACTGGTCTTCCTTGAATCTAAACCCTCTTTGTAACTTAGTCAGGGCTGTAGCTGCCACTGAGGCCACTGAGGTCATGGCCTCGGAATTTAAGTAAAAATATATTTTTAGGCTCCATATGTTTAAATTTGACTACTTTAAGACATTAATTAGCTTGGATAATAATGATGCAATATTTCTACAGCAGAATGTAGTATTTTCTTCATATAGGGAATAAAATGTTCAGGAAACTATAAACATTTAATAGAATAAATAAATATAAAGGATTTCTTTTGGGAGTCTGGTCAAAGTTTTCTGTGGTGAACATGATCAGTAGGCTATTTCTAAAATACTGGAAATGGCCTTGATCGTAAGTGCAAATGGAAACAAAAAAACTATTTACACCTGATATGATGATATGATATGAACACTTTGCTTAAAGACTTGTCAGCATTCTTCTGATCTTAGACTGATGCCAAGATTTCATGAATCAGTTGTAACTTACATATATCCAATTACAAAATGTATTATTGATTATGTAAAGTACTGACTCTTAACCAAGAAGAATAAAAACAAGGGCAAGGATAACTATGACCAAAATGACTGAGAGTCCTGCAAAAATTGAGTCCTTCACCTACAGACATGCACATATTGATCAACACCATCTTACAGAGACTGCCGTTTGCTTTGTGTAAGTGGCAGCATGTTGAGCTGAGCTGGTCAACATGGAGAAGCTGCCCTGTAAAAACAGGCAAATCTTACAAATTGCATTCTAATTTGTTTTTAAGGTTAAAATTGTTTCAAAATGCAGATCAGCAGTCGAGAGACTACTCCCATTGCAAACCTGCATGTTTAAGCAATCTTTATAGGCAGCCGTCTGTAATAACAACCATATCAGAATGACAGAAAGACACAAATATGTTATTACATTTTGGCATGTGAGCAGCTTTATTGATGGGGAAGGTCTGGTGTCAAAAAATGTAATGATGGGCTAATCCCCTCGCATGCGTAATGACAGCTGGTGCCAAGAGCAAGGCTCAAAACCAAACCGCCATCTGTCTGACAAGCACAGTTTGTTCTGAGGAGAACACGGCGACGCATCGCTTTTTACGCACAACAAGACCGCGAAGTCCGAGCAGCTCTTTGTTACATTATGATGGTTTAATGTGTCGCACAGGGCTGGGTACACTTGTGGCGTTTTTTGAGGCCGACATACACTTTTACGGACCCGCAGAGTTGATTGATCTCTCGCTTCAGCCGCGCGTCAAACCGGCTCGGTGCGTCAGGAAGCAACAAGCACGCTGGAAAGTCTACTTTTTATTTAAGATATTTAAGATATTTGAGATAAAACCACAAGATGGAAAACTTTTCAACAGCTCCGGACCTGAACCACACTTGGACGGACTACAGTATCCAGTACAAAGTAATCAGTAGTTTGCTGCTTCTCCTGATTTGTGTTTTAGGACTCGTTGGGAACGTTATGGTCATCCTGGTGGTCCTCACTACCAAACACATGAGGACTCCAACCAACTGCTACCTGGTGAGTTTGGCTGTGGCTGATATGATGGTGCTGACAGCGGCTGGTTTACCGTCCATCACAGACAGTATCTTTGGATCTTGGGTGTTCGGCCACTATGGGTGCCTCTGCATCACCTACTTTCAGTATCTCGGGATCAACGCCTCCTCTTGTTCCATAACAGCGTTCACCATAGAGAGATACATCGCTATCTGCCACCCGATTAAAGCTCAATTTCTGTGCACCCTGTCCAGAGCAAAGAAGATCATTTTGTTCGTTTGGACTTTTACTTCTCTTTACTGTGTGATGTGGTTCTACCTATCAGACATCCAGGAGATGGTGTACGAGAACATCACCATCGTCACATGTGGCTACAGAGTCTCGAGGAAGCACTATTTACCCATTTACTTTTTTGATTTCGGCGTCTTTTTCGTGTTGCCGCTGCTGCTCTCTGCGGTTTTGTACGGACTCATCGCCAGGATCCTCTTCCTCAACCCGCTGCCTTCCGATGCCAAAGACAAGAAGAAGAACGGACAGAACAACAACACCACCAATAAGAGAACCAGCTGCAAAAACTCCCGTCACTCCAGCTCCACCGCGACCTCCCGCAGACAGGTGGGTGGCGTGTGAGCCTGCAGAGGATGACAGTCAGGCTGGCATCGTTTACATGTCTGCAGGCTTGTCCTTAAACTGCAGTCATTTGGTCACACATTGAGCGTTAATTGACTTCAGTAACTAATCAAAATACTTCTTCCATCACTGTAAATAAAAAGAATGAAACATTTTATTAACTGAACAAATTAACTAGTTTTGAAAGATGAGTAAAGCAGAACAATTAAACAAAAAGCTCACTAAATTTAAGAAAATTATTAATATCGTTTAGTATTAGAATTAATATTATTAGAGTAGAGTCATACAGTACTGAATGGCTTTCGATGAATATCTGTTGTGTTGCACGTCTTTACATTTCTATTATTAGTTCACAAATCCGATGGTGAAGTTCCTAACATAATAAACATAAACATAATTATAGAGGCAAATTGTGATTCATTTGTTAGAAAAACACATTTTAATCAGACTTTAAGGGGGCCTTTCACCCAGATCACAAAAAAATTAATGATTGCATGAATGAATAGGCTAAATAAATACATTTATAAATCATTGCTGCAACTAACAGTTATTTTCATAGATTAATCTGGTGGTTTTCAATTTACTGTTTTGTCTGCAAGATAAGCTCAAAGTCCAAATTTATTATTCAAATGTTTGTTTTGTTTGACCAACAGTCCAAATCCCCAAAATATTTGGTTATATTTAGTACCACAGAATACTAAAAGAAAAAAGCAAATATTCATATTTGAGAAGCTACAATCACAATCCTTTCTGTTAAAAAAAAAACAACTTATGAAAACATAAAAAGGGTCAGCACACTGTAGCTCCCTTAAGTGCAACTTATTAGCACATCCACCAGTGACATTTCCAAGCTCATGCTCTTCTTCAGACAAAAAAAAAAGAAAAAGAAAAAGAAAAACACTTAACAATAACTTTTTTGATCAATTGATTGTTCCAGCTCCATAAATTAAAATATATATATATACACATCATCTCTACTGGAGTTGAGCCAAGCAGTTAGTTTTTAGTTTTCCTGTACTAAAACTGTTTTTGTTTTTGTTTGGGTGAACTGACCCTTTAAAACTGAGCTTACAAAAGGCCCGAACTCCCTCATTGTCAATTAAAAAATAAATAGCCATTTTTATATGTCTATTAACTTAAAACCATGAAGAGTAAAAAAAAGATGTCCATATCTGTAATTTGTATTTACTTGTTAACAGCTCAACAGTATTGATTTGGTCTCTATGGACTCTTCCGGGAGCTTTACTGCAGCAGCAGCTCTCATATTTCTCCTTGTTGCTACAGGTGACCAAGATGCTGGCTGTGGTGGTGATCCTGTTCGCCATGCTCTGGATGCCTTACCGCACCCTGGTGGTGGTCAACTCCTTCCTGGACAGGGCCTACCTGGACAACTGGTTCCTGCTCTTCTGCCGGATCTGCATCTACCTCAACAGCGCCATCAACCCGGTCATCTACAACGCCATGTCTCAAAAGTTTCGCGCTGCTTTCCGCAAGATCTGCCGCTGCGGGAGGAAAGGCTCAGACAAACCCGCCACTTACAGTGTGGCACTCACCTACAGCGCAGTCAAGGATACGTCGATGGTGGAGAGCACTGATCACTTCACAACAGAGCTGGAGGAGCTCACTGTCACAGATGAACTGCTGTCTGATCAGAAAATGATGTTCCCAGACCCATGTGTGTATGGAAAGGTGAATTTCAGCGACGCCTGAGGTTCATTTGACACCAGAGAGATGATTCTGATAGTCAATGGAGAGTTAAAGAGTATGAAAAGGTTGCCTAATGGAGTATGTTAAGTGGGAATATTGTTTCCTGAGTGCCTGCTGACCTTTTGAAAGTCAGGCATCTGTAGCTAGAGATGTAAACACAGATTACCGCCACTGATGCGTAATGACAGTCTTTGAGGCACACAGCCAAACTCTTGCTCTTTGTTGTCAATGATCCTGGACATTGTAAAGCAACACCGACAGATAAGCCCTCTTTTATCGAAAAGCTGTTATCTTATCTTGGCCCTACCCACGTAATATACAGTGTACGACTCAATAATACATGAATGTGAACAGACACACCGTTCCCACTTCAAATACATGTGTTGTATGTTGTGAACTCCAATACCCAGAAACCCTGCAGCATCAGTCAGTAAACACCTGGACACATTCATATTTTCCAACACAGCCGGTCAGTAATGTTATAATACCAAAGACATCACAGAAGCAAGAAGAATTTAGCTTGGAAATGTGGAATTCAGTCTTGATTCAACATTTTCCCAGAGTAAATTCACTGTACTATACATGCTAAAAGTCAGGATGGGTTAATTTCCTCAGCTTCAGACAGACTTTGGGGTTTAAGCTGAAAAAAGGGGTTATTTTCATCCTAAAAAACCTTCACCCTGAGCAGCTTTGATAACTGTACCATCCTGCACTCCTGATGTTTTATGGGTGGGTGGTCCATTAAAGGGTGAGTCACACCTGAACCTTCACGGGCAAAACAGGCCCTATTTTTGCTCTAAAGGATATGGCCTCGAGCACAATGTGAGAACCAAGACAGACTGTGTGGTCTGGAGACGGTCTTTTCATTGGTATGTTGAGTTTTTCTACAGTAAGTGTTCACTGAAAGAGACGGGAATACAAAAGTACATAAAGCACTTTGGAACTTGAATTTTAAAAAGTGCCATAATGAAGCTTACATGTGTTCCTACAGCTCCCACAGTATCATCCTGTTTCTAATAAGGCATCACTTATTGTGGGTTTATAAGTTGTAACTAATGGCTTCATTTATAGGCAAATTATTTTATAATGCTTTATAGATTGGTATTAAGCCATTTATTTATTTATTAAGAACAACTTTTGCGTTGTCTGATATTAGTTTGGTTGCTGTGTGTTATTGCATTACTTGATTAGTCTTTTTATGTTGCTTTTTAAAGGAATATTATTCAAGCTTTTCATGAACTCAAACCTGTCTTTTCAATATCGTCGACATTTTTTCAATAGTCAGTCAATGTATTTGCATTCAGTAATTATCTTTCTAAATAGTAGTTATAATTGTTAGTGGGTCAGTGCACCACTCCCGCATAGGATTCAATTTGTCTACCTACGCATGAGGTATTCACAGGAAATGATGCATGTATGTAATCTTTAATTACTTTGTAGTTGGAGCTAGAGCTTTATTGGTGGGGTTAAGAATGGGGACATCATTTTCTTATGTTAACGCTAGAATCGATTCAAAACAAGTATGGCACTGTAGTTGTGAATGAGATGGATGCAGCAAGTCGACTATAATAACTGGAAATTACATATTTCTTTGTTAGTTGTTCCTAGTGAGCGCTGTGAGTCACCACTGATTGGTTAGCGCAAAGTAAGCCCTCCTTCAAACAAGAAAAAGAATATGAATAGTTTACCTACTTTCCATCAGGAAACGGCCTACATACAATTTACACGTTCTATTCTTCTAACAACTTATTAATTTTTCCAAATTTTTAGGCTATTGTTGTGAAATAGCCTCTAAAGATCTCAACACCAGGCTGAAAAGCAGTTTCACTGCCCTCTCTGGTTTAAAGCTGCACCTGTAAAAACACCCACCGGTGATGTCACAGTGCACTCACACAGCCTTGAGCGCACTTTACATCACTGCAGCAAGGTGAGAAAAGTTAAACCTCTGAAGGTCAGGACAGACATGACTTTCACTGCGGTGAAGTTCCTTCTTAAAACCTTATAAATTAATGTATTACTACATTTACTAACGATGGCTTACTTTATAAAGTAAGAAAATCACAATCCTTTATTGACGACTTTCTCAGTCAAGTCTAAAGTTTTAAACATTAATAAACAGTTTACACATATCAGCCTTAGTAACAACTCATAAACCCTTTATAAAATATGCCTTATTAGACAACGGTACCTCTCTCAATTATACTTTTAAAAAACAAACATTTGTTTGAGCAGCAGCAGTGGTTGTTAACCTCAACAATTTACAGTGTGAAATTCTGTATATAGTGTTACAGAGATTTAGTATTACATAAAGATGTTGAGATATTTTAGCTTCAGCACTATAAGATACATCTAAGCATCAGTGTTGACATTGAGGCAAAGTGAAGTGAATGTTTTGGTCAGTTTTCTGTATCATGTGAACTGTGAATTTAACAAACCATTGCTTTTGCTGATCGCTTTTCAGTTGTGAAAGTTGTCAGTGAGCCGGTGAACATGGCTGGATGGACGTGTGATGTTTAGATAAGCTGATGTTGTGTGGTGTTTTCTTACAGATCAGTGACTGTTGCACAGTCTACCACACAGGAGAATATAATTGGGCAGCAGCAGACACAGCAGAGGAAGATGAAGCCCTTGCTATCAAACACGGTTTTGTACGTGGAAAATGACAAATAACAGCTGTAGTGTTTGTTTAATGATTGTAACAATACTGTACATGCCTTGTGTATATATTTCTGCACTTGTGTATGTTCCCTGTGCATTTAAAGTGATTGTTATTTATGGTAACTGTTTGTAAGAGAAGAGGAGTTATCTGTATATTTTTGTGCCACTGTTGCTTTCATTATTGTCCGATAAAACATTACAAATATTATTTTGCAATGTATAATTTGGAATCTGCTATCTTGCTTTTCAGAATAATCTGGTCCTGTGAGTATGTGTGATGGTTATCTAAGTGATCATTTGTAAATTTTATCTTTATGTTCCAAATAAAAGTTCTTTCTTGAATTACAGTGAATTATTTGAGACTCTTTTTCTCCTTTTTGAGACCACCCACACTTAGCAGGATTGGGCTTTAGTCAAAAGGGTAGGAGGGAAGAGATTCAAAACGACAAATCCAAAGCTCCTGAAATGAAATATCTTTTAAGGAGGTTAAGATTTTTGGTCTGCCCCAAAGTGGCCAAAATGTAATCAAGCAACATTGCTTGATCATTTAATTTATCTAACAACATCCCTACTTACTACTCATGACTGTAGATAGTGTGTATGATTCGATTATAAATTTTTCTTATTTTTAAACTTATATTCCACAGAGATAAAAAATCATTTTAATGTAGAGTTTTATTCAGCTCCTTTGGCATCGAACTTTGACAGTATGGAAATTTGCTGATAGTATGTAAATATGTCAGACCAGAGCTCCCATTTCCTCCATCACTTTATATTAGATATAACAATAACACTCATTTTCAAACGGATACCCTCGCTACATTTACACATTACAGTTACCTTAAGAGAATAAATACCAATAAATGTAAATTCTGCTGTCATATCTATCACCCAATATAAACTCAGCCTGTGAACAGTTTCAGTTAACCGCTAATTTATGGCCATCACCAGGACTAAACTGCCTTAGTGGAATTTCAAAAAGCTCCATACAATTTATCTGGAGTGTAAATAATGTTTTGAGCCCTCGCCTCCTGTGCGGCTCCAGACCTTAGAAACAAGAAAGACAGCCCACAGAGAGTCTTAACCAGTTATTACTATACACAGATCTTGGTCTCACTTAATATAATGCTACTGTACTGTACTTGTATCAGAAATCAGAATCAGAATGAGAAATACTTTATTGATCCCCGAGGGGAAATTCTGTATAGCGCCTTTCTAGTCTTTCCGACCACTCAAAGCGCTTTTACACTACATCACATAAACCCCATTCACACACATCCATGCACTAAGGCAGAGGCTAAGGTATATATCTGCCATCACAAACAAAAATACACATTCAATACACATTCACACATCGATCATTATCTTGCACAAGGATACTTTGATAAGCAGACTCGAACGACCTTCAGATAAGTGGACGACCGCTCTACCCCCTGAGCCACAGCAGTGGGTTAGATTAAAGAATAAATGTATTTAGTCCACAATGGCATATTTAGAGGGCCAGTTCACAGAAATAACCCCCGGTGGTATTTAGCCATGCAGATAGTTTCAGATTCTTATTCTGAGGCTGAGATATCTCTTTAGATATGACTCATTAGCCCAAAACAAAGGAGGTGAATATAATTTTGTTTGTAGTCCTTGAAGCATCGCAGTGACATTTGAACTAGCCTACGAAGAGCCTACAGCCATGCTAAGGCATGCGGCACAGTGAAGCTAGCTGGACAGCAGTTATTTGAGCTAAATGCTAACAGCAGAATATTGATATACAATGACAATGCTAACATGCTAATGTTTCGGGGGTGAAGTTTACCATGTTTGACATCTTAGCTTAGCATATTTGCATACAGCTCATAAACATATTAGGATAGTAAAGTGCTGATTAGCACTAAACACAAAGCTAAACCTGATGAGGATTTGTTTAGTATTCAATCAACCACAGAATCAACAACAAACTTTAACGTCACTAAGTGTCAGTTGTAGATCTCGTGCTGTGTTTGATGCTCTGTTGACGATTGTATGTTGTTCCTCAAATGTAAGTCGCTTTTGATAAAAGCGTCTGCCAAATGTGTAATTGTAAATGTAAAAGAAACGTCAGAGGATCACCTGAGTCATTCAAACTTCTAGATAACTTGAGCAAAGCAAATTTCATGGCAATCCATTCAAAAGTTATCAAATATTTCACTCAAAACCAAAAACGTCAACCTCATGGTAATGCTATGGAAAAAACAAGGTATCACCTCTTCTGAGAACTGTAAAAAACAAACAAAAAAGAAGAGATAATTCAATCTTGACCTCAAGTCAAGAAATTAGTAGGGCAAAAAATTTAACTGCCCTGTTTTTCCAGAAAATTGTTAAAAAGTTGTTACTGTACTTCCAGGTACTGCTGGCTAATCTACAGAACACTCTTGATAAGTCAGATATTAACAATTTCTTTAGTAGAAAGCAGTTCAATTGATATCAGTATTGATACAGTAGATGGAAAATGTCTTGTAATTTGGGTGAACTGACCCTTTATAAAAGCAGAGCTACAGGACACAAATAAACTCTTATCCAACGAAGGTTAAAATTAAGGGCAATTGGACTTGGTAGAAGCTACTGGAAGACGTTTCATCCCTTATCCAAAGGACTTCTTCAGTTCTGACTGACTGGCAGGGAAACTCAGCTATTTAACCTCAGTGGGGTCGTTATCCCAGGTCATCGATACCGCTGGGTCGTTAGTGTTCCTTGTTGCTGTGACGACAGTCGTTACAGTCGTTAAGACTACCTGTGGCCAACGACCATCGTTGGTATCTTCACCTGAGGCCAATAGGTTACGTTTGTTGAGTTTCCTGGGAAGTGATGAAAGGACAGCATTGTAAGTGGGGGATAAGTGGTGGCGTAGACCCCCTCCCCTGTTCAATGACGGCTTCTCAACCCTGGTGTAGATGGCTTCCTTAACACCTCTTTCAAACCATCCATCTTCTCTGTATAAATGTGCACCTGGTGGTCCTCAAACGAGTGTCCTCTGTCCTTCAGATGTAAGTAGACTGCAGAGTCTTGACCTGAGGAGTTGGCCCTTCTGTGTTGAGCCATGCGTTTGTGTAGTGGTTGTTTAGTCTCCCCAATATACAGGTCTGTGCATTCCTGACTGCATTGGACCGCATACACTAGATTGCTTTTCTTGTGTTTGGGTGTGCGGTCTTTGGGGTGTACCAGCATCTGTATTAGTGTGTTCTTGGGTTTAAAAAACACAGGGATGTTATGTTTGTTGAAAATCCTCCTGAGTTTCTCTGATACTCCAGACACGTATGGAATCACAATGTTGTTGCGTTTGACCTTCTTTTTCTCCTCCCCTGTAGTTTTGTTCTTCTTGGATCTTGTGGCTGTTTTCACAAAGGTCCATTTAGGGTATCCACAGGCTGTAAGTGCCCCCTTCAGGTGGTTCTGTTCCTTCTCTCTGGCTTGGGCGCTTGTTGGTTTGTTTTCCGCTCTGTGATGCAGTGTTCTCATGACCCCTAGCTTGTGCTCCAGTGGGTGGTGTGAATCGAAGAGTAGGTATTGGTCTGTGTGTGTGGGTTTTCTGTAAACACCAATCTGCAGGCTCCTGTCCTCTTCAATGTGTACAGCGCAGTCCAGGAAGGCCAAACTGTTGTTGTGAACATCTTCTCGTGTGAACCTGATGTTACTGTCCACAGAGTTGATGTGTTCTGTGAAGGCTTGCACTTCCTGGCTTTTGATTTTGACCCAGGTGTCGTCCACATATCTGTACCAGTGGCTCGGTGCTGTTCCTCTGAAAGAGTTGAGGGCTTTATTCTCCACTTCTTCCATGTAGATGTTGGCCACAATCGGGGATACTGGTGAGCCCATGGCACAGCCATGCTTCTGTCTGTAGAATCCACCGTTGTACTGGAAATAGGTGGTGTTTAGACAGAGGTCGAGTAATTTGCAGATTTGGTAAGGGCTGAGGCTAGTTTCTTCACACGAGAAGATGTTCACAACAACAGTTTGGCCTTCCTGGACTGCGCTGTACACATTGAAGAGGACAGGAGCCTGCAGATTGGTGTTTACAGAAAACCCACACACACAGACCAATACCTACTCTTCGATTCCCACCACCCACTGGAGCACAAGCTAGGGGTCATGAGAACACTGCACCACAGAGCGGAAAACATACCAACAAGCGCCCAAGCCAGAGAGAAGGAACAGAACCACCTGAAGGGGGCACTTACAGCCTGTGGATACCCTAAATGGACCTTTGTGAAAACAGCCACAAGATCCAAGAAGAACAAAACTACAGGGGAGGATGAAAAAGAAGGTCAAACGCAACAACATTGTGATTCCATACGTGTCTGGAGTATCAGAGAAACTCAGGAGGATTTTCAACAAACATAACATCCCTGTGTTTTTTAAACCCAAGAACACACTAAGACAGATGCTGGTACACCCCAAAGACCGCACACCCAAACACAAGAAAAGCAATCTAGTGTATGCGGTCCAATGCAGTGAAGAATGCACAGACCTGTATATTGGGGAGACTAAACAACCACTACACAAACGCATGGCTCAACACAGAAGGGCCAACTCCTCAGGTCAAGACTCTGCAGTCTACTTACATCTGAAGGACAGAGGACACTCGTTTGAGGACCACCAGGTGCACATTTTAGACAGAGAAGATGGATGGTTTGAAAGAGGTGTCAAGGAAGCCATCTACACCCGGGTTGAGAAGCCGTCATTGAACAGGGGAGGGGGTCTACGCCACCACTTATCCCCCACTTACAATGCTGTCCTTTCATCATTTCCCAGGAAACTCAACAAACGTAACCTATTGGCCTCAGGTGAAGATACCAACGATGGTCGTTGGCCACAGGTAGTCTTAACGACTGTAACGACTGTCGTCACAGAAACAAGGAACACTAACGAACCAGCGGTATCGATGACCTGGGATAACGACCCCACTGAGGTTAAATAGCTGAGTTTCCCTGCCAGTCAGTCAGAACTGAAGAAGTCCTTTGGATAAGGGACGAAACGTCTTCCAGTAGCTTCTACCAAGTCCAGTTGCCCTTAATTTTAACCTTCGTTGGATAACTATGACCTGGATGACTGAGAATCTTCATAGACAAATAAACTCTTGTATCTGCAAACATCGGCTGCACTTGAAGTGAAATGTGGGAACAGTAAGATAGGTGTTTGGATTGACCTGCAGGAAAACTATTTTGTGCAAAATCAATCAATATGTGTTTTCAAGCACTTACCACCTGTAATGATCTGTTTTGTGAGACTTTGGCATTGATCTGGATCCTGAGTGGGTTGTAAGAAAAAGACAGATGACACTGTTATTTGACGCATAAACATAAAAAAATAACCTATA